AGTAAAAAAGCTAGTAGACCTCATTGGAAGATTCAGCAAAGTGGCAGGATATAAGATCAACATACAAAAATCAGTTGGATTCCTCTATACCAAAAACAATAGTGCTGAAAAGGACATTAGGAAAGCAATACCATTTACAATAGCCACCCAAAGGATGAAATATCTAGGAATAAATGTAACCAGAGAAACAAAAGGCTTATACAAAGAAAACTACAAAGCACTACTACAAGAAACTAGGGTGTTGATCCCTGTCTTGGTATATGTGAAATTTATCTAACAAAGGGGTGTTCTGATTCCACCTGCTGATCCAGGTCACTAGGAAGTCCTGGAAGTTAAAGAATCGAGTGATCTAAAAACACTGATGAACATGGGACCCGTATTTGCCTGAGAAGCTGGAAGTATCTTTATTGAATGCTGATTTCTGGCAGGGGTCAGGGGACACAGGCATCTCACCATGGCTGGTGGAGAGAAGAGGAGGAGGGGGGTACGTGGCACACAGCTGTAAGTCACTGAAGACACAGGGGAAATCGTCAAGACACTAAGGATTCCTGCCTTGTGAGGTCTTGGGGACATGCTCCCATCCACACACCCCAAAGCTGTGGATGTCAGGACCCTGATGGTAAAAGATGAGGCACACTCATCCACAGCTAGGTGGGCCGCAGCTTCATCTCAGACATCTTGTAGCTGTAATTGTGCCCTTTGCCCGATTTCCAGTTGATTCCATCAGCATAGCTTTCATGGTTCCCCCCAAAGTAGTGACCATTCAGGTTTGACACATGACACTTGTGGTACCACCAGGCTCCTTTGAAAATCTGGGCACAATTACCAGCATACAGGTCATTGTCTTGGTCTTTGGTGGTAAAAAAACTGTGGTTATGGGATGACAGAGAATCACCTGTCCGGGAGAAAAGTAGGTGTAATTAGCACTAGAAAAGGCTCTATCATCAGGTAGAAAAGGCCCTACCATCCTCACCTGGCCTTGGCTCCTGCTTCTACTTGTACCATTATCCCTCCACAGACATGGATACTGACCCCAAGGAGGTCCAGACTCAGCCCAGGCCTGGAGGACACAGACCCAGACCCAGAACTAGGATTGCTCCCCCACATGACACGACCTCCTTCCTCCAACCAACACTGCTTCCTCCTGGCTCCACCATGACCCCAAACACTGTTGTCTCCTTAGAGAGCCCCTATCCTCCCATCATCCCTCTGCCTTGGGCTTCTCCTGTGTCCTGACTCTCCTGGTTGAGTCTGTCATTGCCCTGAAGTGTGCCATTTTCCTTTCACAGGATTTTGAAAACAATTTCCTCTCATCTTACACCCCACCATCTTCCCAGTATCTCAAGCCAAACACAGCCAAGAGCTAGTGTCTCTGAGCAGAGCTTCTGCCCTTAAAGGCCACCCTCCTCCGGCAGGTTCCCTCTGGGATTTGTCATGTGACCCCTCCCCTTGTTCCCAAGGTCTATTCTCTGTAATTTGGGAATGACTTCCATCCAGGACACCATCCTATTTTCTCGGGCTCATCTCTGACTCCTGCATCAAGCAATCTTAACCCAGAACCACCCAGGAGGTACAAGGAGCCCATGTGGATGGAAGGAACATGCAAAGTCTCAGGCTCTCAGGAGTGATGCTGACACTCCAGGAACTCAGCTTGGGAAGGAGGGCGCTGTGGACCTGTGTGTGATGACAACCCCTTCCGAGTGTTGGGATATGGTCAGTGATTGGTCATCCTGCAGCAGACAGAGCTTGTGGGTCATGTCATGTGATCCTTCCCTAGAGACCCAGGTGTGACTGTGTGTGTTCATGGAGGAACGAGGACTCAGGAGGTGAGGCTCCAGGAATAAGAATCACCCCAGGAGGGGCAGATCCAGGATAGTAGGCCCTGTTCACCACCTGCACCCTCAATATGATGCAGACTCACCTGCACTGCCCCCTTCGAAGGCCCCCACGGCCAGCTTGTATTTCTGTGACTCATTTGCAATCTTGAATGAGCTGTACTTGGCAAATTGGTGATTGCCCTGGAAGTCCACCAGGTCCACACGGAGCTCACTAGTGCCTGTGGAAAAAACATGATAAAGTCTCAGCTGAAGATCTTTCTGTCACCAGAAATAGGGATGAGTGATTAGGGTGAGTTCTTGAGGGATGTCTGGAAGTGGCATCCAGGGAAAGTTCAAGTGGGACCTTTAACAAATGCCGTGTGGCTCTGAGAACCTCAGGGATGGTCCGTATTTCAAACATCTTCCCCATCCCGAGTCCAGACCTGAATTCCACTGCTGTGGTCAGTGGATGAAAGGACACATCGCTCTACTTTAAAATGTGAATTGTACTGGAAGTGGTTGTTAGGACACTAATATGTGGTGTGAGAGCTTGTGTTTTAACTTTCCCTTCTCTTGGAAGATTTGAGACACATGAGGGGATGCCCTTGAGGTTTCCTGGGGCCACAGAATGGAGAAAGGAGCAGACTAAAATTTACTCAGGGCAGATGGGAAGCTGACTCTGTGGCGTGGAGTCAGGGGGACTAATCTGGGTGGGGTCTGCCACAAGCACTGACACCGAAGAAGTGAAGGAGGACCTCCGGGGACCTAAGATCCTAAGTGAAGGAAGACCTCCGGGTGATCATGGGTGGTGGACCTGAGGGTGGTTTCCCTCAATGCCCCTCCCTACTCTTGTTTCCATGTAACCCCACATTCCTGGACCCATGCTCTAAGAGCCCCCAGTAGGGCCACATGCCCAGCACATCTCAGTGAAGACATGGATGTCTCAAAGTCCCAGCATCTATGGTCCAGCTCGGGTAGCAGGGCCTTACCCTGGGTTGTCAGGGTGTGGATGTTGTCATTCCCCAGCCAGAACTCTCCCAGCTGACTGCCGAAGCCATTCTTGTACTCGGCCCAATCCCGATAGAAATCCACAGAGCCGTCGATCCTGCGCTGGAAGACCTGGGGGCAGAGGGACTTGGGGAGAAGGTGGCCCACAGTGCAAGGTGTGACCCAGACTCTGTGCAGCAGCAACACAGAGTCACCGTGTCATAAGCCAGCAGCACCCATGTGGGCCTCATCACAACCCAAGATGTTCAGGTGGGAGACCCAGCTGACCCTTGCAGAGATGGGGCTCAGAGAGGGGGTTGTCAGGGCACAGTCACACAGCAGGAGAGGGGAGGGCTCTGACCTCTTTTCCTCACAGGATCATGTTTCCCCCACCTCTCCTGATTCTCCCTCCCTCAGAGAAAGGAGGGCTCTGTGCTTTGTGATGACAGGGAAAACAAGCCCAAGAGGGAAAAAGACCACCAGCAAGGTCACAGGACAGCATGGGGGTGCTCATGTAGTGCTGTCCCCCATGCCCTGCACTCACGATCCAGCCCCCTCCCTCAGTGTGCATGTCACACAGCACTGTCAGGGGCTGACAGTCAGGAAGGAAGATGGTGTGCCAGCCGCTCAGGATGTGTCCTTGGGTGAGTAGCTCCATACAGTTCCGAGGCCCTGGGGGAAATGGGAAGGAGGATATGTGTGCTGGGCAGGAAGTCATGCCCTGGGTCCAGGAGGGTGGGGCAGGATGGGGTCATCTGGATGGGCAGGGGAGGCAGGGACTAAGACAGAGATAGACTCATAAGGACCCTAACTCTGATTGGAAGAACCCAGCTCCCTTGGCTCTCCCCAATCCTAGACCACATTGGTCTTCACACCCCTGCTTTTCCTGGGTGCAGTCTAACTTTTGACCATAGCCCCTCTAGGACTGTTATATGAAATCAGCAAATGTGGAAGGGAGAATGTACTGAAGTCCAGGGCTGCAGATTGCACAGGCTCTGTAGCCATGGAAGGGGCCAGTGACGTACCACAGGGGGGGCTGAGGTGGGGGTATGGCCCATCACCCACCTGTACTACAATCCTGAAGTGTCCCAGGTTCTCCTGTGATGGGCAGGGAGGTAAAAGGACATCACATCACATGTGGACAAAGCAAGCCCTTCCAACACCCCTAGACTCAGACAAGGAGTGGGTATCCAGAATGGAGGGGTCTCTGCCTCCAGAAAAGACAACTCTATCCCTGTGAACTTGTGGCCTCAAGTGTATTATCCATTGTCATGCACAAGGAGCCCCAGGCATCCAGTAAGCACTGGACTGCTAACCACAAAGCCAGCAGGCTGAACTGATCAGTCACTCATGGGGTAAAGAAGAGGCAGTCTGCTCCCACCAAGATCTGCCTTCATGGAAACCAAAAGGACCTTGCCCTACCGAGTCACTATAAGTCAGAATCAACTTGAGGCAGTGGGTAATAGAAATGATACATATGCACATATATGACATTGTTGTTAAGTTTCGAGAATTCAGTTCCAACGCATAGTGACCTTGATATGATTCCGAGGAGCAGCTGATGGGTTTGAACTGCTGATCTTTCAGTTAGCAGTCCAGTGATGATCCTATGGCATGACCCCAGGACTCCATATTTACTATGTTGTTGTTGTTGTTGTTAAGTGCCGTCGAGTCGAGGGGTTATGTCATCTAGATAGATGAATATTTATTTATATTTATATATAGTAAATATGTAAGTATAAATAAATATTCATCTATCTAGATGACATAACCCCTCTCTTCTGTGGTGGGTGGTGGCGAGGACATCACACTGACTCTCCTGATCTTCACACTTTGGCATGACTCCAGCTTTAGTTGGAGGATCAGACACCTGGAGGGACAGGGCAGGACTTGGTGCTCAGGGGTCTGAGGAAGACCTAGTGAGGTGTGGCAGGGATGGACTGGGGAAGGTGGTCACTCAGCCACTGTCCTGACCCCAAGACTGTGTCCAAGTCAGAGGGGAAGTCTTGTCTTTGTCCCACTCCAGAGTCCAGACATGGCTGAGGCCAGAGAGTCTTTTGTGTAGATACAGTCAGCTCAGTGCCCCCTCAGGATGACTCACCTTTCTCTCCAGGAGCCCCCTTCTCTCCTTGGTCTCCTAGGGAAAGAGACTGGGTTAGCCCAGGGTAGACCCCTCCCAAGGATGGAAGTGAGGTGGGGGCAGCCTACAGGCTGATCTGAACAAGGAAGACCAGAATAGACCCCTTCCATGAATAGAGTGAGTTGGGGGTGGCCCACAGGCTGATCTGGACAAGGAAGACCAGAATAGACCCCTTCCATGAATGGAATGAGTTGGCGGGGGGTTGGGGGGCACACAGGGTGATCTGGGCAGGAAATCCAGGGCTTCTCCAGAGACCACTGTGAGACTGTGGTCAGGTATGTCAGTGTCACTGGCCCAGACTATGGACCAGGTAGGGCAGAGAGTTGTATGGGCAGGTGGGGGAGTGAGCTTTTCAGAAGCAACAATGACACAGCCCCTAGTCCCCTCTCAAGACCCTGGTTTTCCCCAAAACCTTTTTCTTTTGTCACAGTTTTACCTTTAAGGCCAGGTGGTCCTGCCTTCCCAGGGCTTCCGGGGAGACCGCGTTCTCCTGCAAATTCCAGACACATGTCATGGAGCAGAACCCCTAAAACCTGTAATCTCAGAGTCCACCTCGGAATTTTGATTCCTAGTCCTCTTGACACCCATGTCTGACCTTGGAGAAACAGGGGTCATGAGCCCAGGACTCCATCTCCAGGAGCTCCAGACAATGGCCAGTGAGGGGCTTGTTGTTGTTAAGTGCTGTCCAGTTGGTTCTGATTCATAGACACTGTGTAGGTGTCTGAGGAACAGCTGGTGGGTTTGTACTGCCAACTTTTCAGTTAGCAGTCCAGTGCTTATCCTACAGCACCATACCAGGAATCCTGCCTGGAGTGAAGGGTTGGGGGTACAGAAAATGGAAACCTCCCTGGAGCCCACACCCCCTAGTCGCAGGGTGAAGCTGGGGCTCTGGGTGTAGAGGGTGCTATGAGAAGACAAGCTGAATTCTGGTTCAAGGGTGCTACTACACAGCATCCTTGTGGGTGTTGAACAGCAAAGGGACCCTTGAGGTCATTCCACCAGTGTTATACCATTTGGGGAGGAGATACACCATTATGGATTGAATTTTATCCCCAAATTTGTGTGTTGGAATCCTAACCTCTATATCTGTGAATGTAATTCCATCTGGGATTAGGGTTTCTTTGTTAGGTTAATGAGGCCAATTAGCTGTAAATGTGTTTTAAGCCAATCACTTTTGAGATATAACAGAGGCAGACTAGAGACATAAGCACACATAAAAGAAGACACAAGCCACATGATCACAAAGAAACACAATGACTGAAGCTGGAGAGACAAGGACCTTCCTTCAGAGCCAGCAGCTTCGGAGTCTGGAAGTGGGAGTTCAGGACCCAGACTTGTAGCTTTCTGAGCTGTGAGACCAGGGAAATTTGCTTTTTAAAGCCACCTCATGGGTCATTCCTGTTACAGCAGCAGCAGGACACCCAGGGCTCAGGTGAGAACACAGAAGAACAGAGGTACAGGGAGGAGGAAGTCCAGCCAGTGAGCCCACAGAGTCGGTACTGGGTCAAGATTGAAAGCCCTTTTTTCTGATCAAACACGTCCCACTGACAGTTCATGAACAATGAAGTCTCAGCTGGTCCCTGCCCATTGGCTGCTGGCATGGCACAGAATGAGGACAAAAGCTCGATCTGAGAGCCACCCTCGGGAGTGGCCCACCTTGGGATCTAATTTAGGAAGAGCAGGTCAGTGACCCCTCACCCTACATAGACACCCACCTGGTCCAACCAAGCACATACCTCTCTCTCCTTTGACACCTGCCTCTCCCTTGGGCCCTTGGGCTCCGGGTACCCCCGGGCATCCTCGAAGAATGCTGAGCTTGTCAGAGCCCTCCAGTCCCACGACCTTCACCTCTGCAGGAAGACACAAGGGACCATCAGTGTGGGTGTCCTGACCCTAAAGGCTCTACCCAGCTATTAGACAGGCCTTCCAAGGAGGGAATGTGTCCACCAGGGGCTGTGGCCTGCACAGCAGCCAAGATGGCCACCAGCATCACAGTTTCAGTGGAGCTGAGTCTCTGCTCCCCAGGGACACTGGTTATCCGTGTCCAACAGGCTGGACAGGGACAGGTGGAGACTGAAGGAGGATCCAGTCCTCTAATTTATGGGGCAGTTGTAGTGTGCCCTACACGGTCACTAGGAGCTGGAATTGGTTTGATGACGGAGGGTTTGCATTTGGGGTTTGGTGTTTGTTCACATAAAATGAGGCTAACCCCAAATAACACTGCAAAGGCTCAGTGCATGCCTAGGGTATATGGAATCAAAACTCCAAACCACATACCACAGAGAGGACCCCACCTCTGGGCAGCCCCACGTGCGTCAGAGCAGGACTGCACTCCATAAGGTCTCCAACGGTGATTTTACAGAAGCAGATTACTAGACCTTTCTCCCAAACTGCCTCAGGTAGACTTGAACCTCCAACCTTTCAGTTAGCCTCTGAGTGTGTTCACCATTAGCACACTCCCAGGGACTCCTGGTACACAGAAAATTCAGAACAATGGAGAGCCCAGTATGCTCCAGGAGGCCCTGATGCCCACTCACCTGGACAGGATTCTGATGCCTGGGAGATTGTAGCAGCAGCACATAGCAGGGTGATAAGCAAGGTCGTGCGTCCCATGACTGCAGCATCCAGGCCCAGCTCCATCTCCTGGGTCTCTGCCCCAGAAGAGGCTGTTTGCTCTTATAGGGCAGGGAGTCCAGCCCCATCTGGAGTGTTTCCTCACTTCCTAAGTGACAGCCATTTCCACTTGGCAAGTGACGCCGAGAGAAGATAACCTTACAGCCTGTTCCTGCTGCCAGCGTCACAGGCCCCATTGCCCTTTCCCAGCGACCCCTGGCCCCTGACCTGGATCTCATGTCCCTGCTGGAGCACAGACTTCTTGTCTCAGCATCAGGACCTGGAAGGCCCACTTCACTTCACTCTCTCATCTGTGACCTGAAGGAAGGCTGTGCTCCTCTTCATTTGCCCTGTCCAGTGATGGAAAGACAATACTGTGGACCATGGAGGGAAGGAAGAAGGACTTCCTGAAGACAGTTCCACCCTACAGAGGGCTCTTCCTTGGTCCAATCCCAACTTTTTACAGTCATTGTCAGTCTTGGTATTGATTTCACATGGTGGAAGTTTAGAATCTACCACTGTGGGATGCAAAATGGTTATAAGCATAGGAACAAAGAGGTGCATTCTTGTGTGTTTCCTTTGTCAATATATGTAGTTTGGGCTTACAATTGCTCAATGAAAGAAGGAGAGTTTTTCTTTGTATTGAGTGTTTACTATGTCAATATGTGTAGCTTGGGTTTCCAAATGCCCAATGCAGAGTGGAGTTCTTGCGTGTTCTGAGTGTTTCCTGGGTAAATATATGCAGTTTGGGCTTCCAATTACAGATGTACACAAATAGGAGAGAATGGAAGGTGGCCAGTGACCTGGGAAGCATGTACAATAGTAAAGAATTGGTTGGCTGCATAGAGAGACCTTGGATTGTGGTGCAGTGGTTTTGGCCTATAAGAGGCATGACAGCAGACTCAGTCCATTAACTTTGTTGTATTGGACATGTGGACTGGGACACCTGGCACCTTGATTATGGGATGAGCCTGCCTAAACTTTGCGGCTTGTCCACATCTTCTTTCCTAATAAAAACTCTCAGTGAAATTGAAATATGAGGGAATTCCTCAACATAATCAAGGGCATATGCAAAAATTAACAGCCCACATTATTCTCAACAGAGACTGAAAACATTCCCCTTGTAAATGAGAACCAGAAAAGAAGCCCTGTATCAGCACCCCTATTCAATATTGTGTTAGAAGTACTAGCCAGAACAATAAGGCAAGAGAGAAAGTAAAAGGAATCCAAATGGACAAAGAAGAAGTAAAGCATTCTCTGTCTCTTTTTCCTACACATAGAAAATTCAAAGACTCTTAAGGAAGTTACTGGAATAGAAGGATTCAGCAAAGTAGCAGGGCACAAGACCAATGTATAAAAGTCAGTGGAATTCCTCTACATTAACAACAACAAAAAAATTCTGAAAAGGAAATGAGGAAAACGATATAATTTACCATGTTGATGTTGTCAAGTGCCGTTGAGTTGGTGCCAACTCATAGTGACCCTGTGTAAGGTTTCTGAGGAGTGGCTGGTGAGCTTAAACTGCTGACCTTGTGATTGAAACTGACAGAATACCATAGCCACCCAAAATATAAAGTACTTAAGAATAAATCTAACCAGATATACAAAGAAAACTATAAAATGCAACTACAAGAAAGCAAAAGAGACCTACAGAAATGGATGAATATACCATGTTCATGGATAGGAAGTCACAACATTGTGAAAATGTCAATACTATTAAAGTGATTTATGTTGAAAGAAGTACAGCCAGAATGCTCCTTAGTAGTCAGGACAGCAACACTTTGTCTCTCATACTTAGGACATGTTATCAGGAGGGACAAGTCCCTGGAGAAAGACACCATACTTGATCAAATTGAGAGTCAGCAAAAAAGAGATGACCTCCCAATGAGATGAACTGGCACAGTGGCAGCAGCAATGGGCTCAAGTAACAACTGTGAGGATGACACAGAACTAGGCAGTGTTTCATTCTATTGTGCATAGGGTCACTGTGAGTCAGAACTGACTGAATGGCACCTAACAACAAAAACAATTAAAGTAACCTTTAATTGTTTAGATTTCAGATACAATGTAATCTCGTTCAGGTTCCCACATCATTCTTTAAAGAGATGGAAAAACTAAGCACCAACTATAGATGTAAGTGAAAAATACTCCACACAAACAAAGCACTACTAAATAAGAACAAAGTAGGATGCCTAACACTTTCTCATCTTAAAGACTTCTACAAAGTCCTGACAAATACTTATATCAATGGAACAGAATTTAGATCTCAGAAGTAAATCAATCCACCTATGGTCAGCTGATTTTATTTTATTTTATTTTTTTAGGTATTACTCACAAATGGCTTTTTATTTTTTTCTTTTATGAATACATATTTATTCAACCAGAGAATGCTTGGTAATTTATTTCACTGATCCCCTATTGTAAGACATTAATCTTGTTACGGTGCTAGGGAGCTCAGTGGCTCTGTACAATATGCACTGGACTGCGTTTGAGTCCACCAGGTGCTCTGTAGGAGAATGATCAGTCTGCACTGGAAAGCACTTAACAACACAATCTCTCTCTCTTTCTATTTTTATATATATAGAGAAAGAGATTGCTACAAGAAACACGGGTAAACATACTAACCTCTTTACCAACTTGTTCAGTGTCTTTTCTAAAATAAATGTCTACAATTAGAAGTGCTAGGTAAAAGAACATGTACTGGGTTTTTTTTCCACTGCATTTCATTTCATTGCAATGATTACAATCCCCTCCTGCATCATCAAACAACCAAACGGTATACCACACAGGCCCACCCCCTGGCCGCCAGCACACAGCCCCTCTCCCTCCCTGAGTTCAGTGTCCCCAGCTGCTCCATCTGTCCACGTCATCTTCTCTGTCTCCATCCTTGGTGTCACTGCCTCTCGGGGTAGGTTCCGCTCTCTGTTCTTCTCACTTGATGGTCCCAGTGACCTCCGCTCCTGGGCTGCAAAATCAATCACTCTCTTCCTTTTGTCAAAAAACATCTACCTCTATATTTCCTACCCTCACAGTCCTGATGGCAATTATTCACTATTGTACCACAAGAGTCTGATCTCCATTCCTTTCACCAGCCCAGTCCCAACTAATTGGAAATCTTTCAGTGGTGATTCTACCTTACTCTGCCCTGTCTGGAACTAGGCTCCCACTTGAGAGCTTATAAGCCAGTCACTTCTTGCCTTTGTAGCCCCCACCCCCACCCCATTTTGGGTAGCCAATGTCTAAGTTGCCCATCCCTGTCATAAGGAAAAAGTAAAGGTCTTGTTTCAATCTTTTGCATATTGCTTTCCAGTTATTCCAGCACCATATGTTAAAGAGACTATCTCCTCCCCATATAACATATCTAGGCACTTTGTCAAAAATCAGTTGGCTGTATGTGGATGGGTTAATTTCTAGATTCTCGATTCTGTCTCATTGATCAATGTATCTTTCATTGCACCAGTACCAGGCTGTTCTGACCACTGTAGCCATGTAGTAGATTTTGAAATCAGGAGTGAGAGACTTCCAACCTTATTCCTCTTCTTGAGCAGTACTTTGCTTATCCTGGGTCTCTTTCCTTTTCATATAAAGTTTGTAATTGTCTTTTTCATCTCTTTGAGGAATGTTGTCAGAATCTGGATTGGGATGGCATTATATGTGTAAATAGCTTTAGGTAGTATTGACATTTTCATGATGTTGAGTCTTCCTATCCAGGAACATGGTATGTTCTTCCACTTCTCTTTTTGTTTCTTGTAGTTGTTGTTGTTGTTGTTGTCAGGTGCCATCGAGTCGGAACCGACTCATAGCGACCCCATGCACAGCAGAACGAAACAATGCTCGATCCTGGGCCAACCTCACCACCGCTGCCACCCCCGAGTCCATCAATGATGCCACCTGGCCGATCCATCTCATTGGAGGTCTTCCTCTTTTTCTCTGACCCTCCACCCTACCCAGCATGACATCCTTCTCCAACGATTGTTTCCTCCGGACTACATGTCCAAAGTAGGAGAGACGAAGCTTAGCCATCCTGGCCTCCAAGGAGCACTCTGGCTGCACTTCTTCCAAAACAGATCCATTGGTTCTTTTGGCAGTCCATGGCACCCTCAGTATTCTCCTCCAACACCACAACTCAAAGGCATCAATTCTTCTACGATCCTCTTTATTCACTGTCCAGCTTTCGCACCCATATGAGGCTATTGAAAACACAATGGCCTGGGTCAGGCGCACCTTAGTCCTCAAGCTGACATCTCTGCTCTTCAATACTTTAAAAAGTTCCTGTGCAGAAGATTTGCCCAGTGCAATACATCGTCTGATCTCTTGACTGCTACTTCCGCGAGTGTTGACAGTTGATCCAAGAAGAATGAAGTCCTTGACAACTTCAAGGACTTGTAGTAGTGTTTTGTAATTCTCTTTGTATAAGTCCTTTCTTGTAGTAGTGTTTTGTAATTCTCTTTGTATAAGTCCTTTGTTTCTCTGGTTATGTTTATTCCTAAATATTTCCTCCTTTGGGTGGCTATTGTAAATGGTATTTCTTTCCTAATGTCTTTTTCAGTGCTGTCATTGTTGCTATAGAGGAATCCAACTGATTTTTGTATGTTGATCTTGTACCTTGCCACTTTGCTGAATTTTCCAATGATGTCTAGTAGCTTTTTTACTGAGTCTTTGGGGTTTTCTATGTATACGATCATATCGTCTCCAAATAGAGTTTTATTTCTTCTTTGCCAATTTGGATACTTTCAATTTCCCTATCTTGCTGTATGTTGTTGTTGTTAAGTGCCGTCGAGTCGGTTCCGACCCTCAGCGACCCTGAACAGGGTTTCCGAGGCTGTAAATCATTATGGGAGCAGATAGCCTCATCTTTCTCCCACAGAGCAGCTGGTAGTTTCAAACTGTTGACCTCGCAGTTCGCAGCCTGATTCGTAACCACTACACTACCAGAGCTCCTTATCTTGCCGTATAGCTCTAGTTAACACTTCTAAAACAATATTGAAAAGGAGTGGTGAAAAGGGCATTCTTGTCTGGCTCCCGTTCGCAGAGGGAAGACTTTTAGTTTCTCTCCATTGACGGTGATGTAGGCTGTTGGTTTTGTATATATGCTCTTGATTGTGTTGAGGAATTTCCCTTCAATTCCTACTTTGTTGAGTGTTTTTATCAGGAATGGATGATGGATTTTGTCAAATGCCTTTTCTGCATCAATCCA